GAATATCATTAGTGACTTTTACTAGTGCTGTTTCTGTGCTATGATGAGCTCTAAACCCTGACTGAAACTCTTCAAACAGATTATTTCTTTGTAGATGTTCACGCAACTGACCTGCAACTATTTTCTCTAGAATTTTTTAGATGAAAGTTAGATTAGATATAGATCTATAGTTGGCCAGAATTTCTGAATCAAGATCAGACTTCTTAAGTAAAGGTTTAATTACAGCAACCTTAAAGCTCTGTGGTACATAACCATCCATTAAAGACAAATTAAGTAGATCCAAAATGTGGACATTAATTAGGGAAAATACCTCTTTAAACAGTCTCGTTGGGATGGGATCTAGCAGACATGTGGATGGTTTGGATGAGGTTATTATTTTTGACATTTCAGAGAGCTCAACAGGACAAAAACTGTCCAAACATAAATCAGGCTCTAGTGAAATTTTTAAAGTTGCCTCATTTGACAGGGGACTAGAGATAGTAGAAGGAAGGATGGTTTGAATTTTCTCTCTAATTGAAATAATTTTATTTATAAAGAATCTCATGAAGTCATCACTACTTATAGTTGTAGGGACACATGGTTCAACAGAAATGGGACTTTTAATTAGTCTAGCAATAGTACTAAACAGAAACCTAGGGTTATTTTTATTCTCCTCTATTAAAGATGAGTAATATAAAGTTCTAGCGTTACGGAGAGCTTTTTTATATGTTAGCAGACTATCTTTCCAAGTTAAATAAAATTCTTCAACATTAGTAGAGCGCCATTTTCTCTCCTGGTTTCTAGATGCCTGTTTTAAAGTACGTAACTCAGAATTGAACCAAGGAGCCAGTTTCCTCTGATTGATTACTTTCTTTTTCAGTGGAGCAATTTTATCAAGTGAAGTTTGCATTGAAGTTGTAAGATGATCAACTAGATCATCTAAGTCATTGTTCTCTGATGCATTACTCTGCAAGACAGAGGAAAACATTGATGGAAGAGATTGTTTAAATTTGGTTACAGCATTTTCTGATAAGCACCTGCTGAGATGAAATTTACTCTCAGTGACTGTGTAGTCATTTAATGTAAACTCAAAGGTTATTAAAAAATGGTCGGACAGAATAGGATTTTGAGGAACTATTACCAAGTCCTTAATCTCTACACCATAACTTAAGCGATCACTGTGTCTCGTTTGTAAGAGGAATCTTAAAAGTTTTCGTGAACAAGTTTATTATCATAACTTTTTCAATTTTGTCTGGAGAACGATAGATCTGATTTCTGACACACACATTCATACAGCCCTCTACTAAACACACATTCATACAGCCCTCTACTAAACACACATTCATACAGCCCTCTACTACACAAACATTCATACAACCCTCTACTACACACATATTCATACAGCACTCTACTACACACACATTCATACAGCACTCTACTA